CACGTTACAAGCTTGTAAAGTCCTTTTGATCGGCATGTGTGTTTTGTAATTGAGTGAACGTTATTTCTTGCTATTGTCAAGTTACCCTTTATTGCATCAAATATTTATATTCTACAAGGTGTACGGCGACGACTAGCTTGATTGGGAAATCGTTTGTGGCTAAGTTTGGTTTCAATTGTGGATCATGATGTTAAGTGATTCTACTTGTATCTGAGCTAGATTTTAGTCTTAATAACTTTGGTTTGATTGTTTGCTCGAGAGTCGAGTCGGTCTTATTCTAGTTCCCTGGAAGTCCTATTTGTTATGTTTCTTCGTTTTGAGTCTAGTGTCGCTTGGGGACAAGAAACGGTTTAGCTTGGGGGAATTTGATGAATCACATGTATATAGGATTTATAGGCATGTTTATGCTACTTTTATAGTTGCTTTTTAGGTCTTTTGTCGCTTTTTAGGACGCAAATGCATAAGTATCCGTTTTGTGCTCTATTACGCTCCGTTTGTGTTTTTCTTAATGTTCCAGGTGATTTCATAGTCATTTAGACGCTTTCGAAGTGTTTGGATTTGATTCGGATGATAATTAGATGGAAGTTGATGAATTGAGTTTATTAATCGAAGAACCCATGTTCATGGACGTTGACTCTGAGGATTTTATGCATGAGAAATGAAAATAGCATCCACAAGGATTGTTATACGTTTTTCGGAATTAAATTTGAGTTGGAAACGAAGAAAAACGATGATTTACAAAGAGGCAAAACTGACCTTTGTCCACTCTTTTGATCCTAAATTGAGATTGAAGCGATTCAAATTGCGTTGGAAACTAGACTTGAAGAGTTTTCCAGTGATATGTCACACGCCCCGAAGCTTTCTAGAACAGAAGATATGGCCGTTTTAATCTGAGCTATGTAGCCTGTGACCATACCCTGCGCCTAATCGAAGCTCCGTAGCTACTGCCAGCCCGCGGCCAAACCTGCAGCCGCAAGATATGGTGAGTGCACGACCAGACCACGACCAAGAGCTGCACATTTTCACTCGTCCCTCGATTCCGTCAATCTTATTCGTGCTACGTCACCTTTTATCATCCAATAGTGTTGCAACTTATGTAATTTATAATTTCAATATTTAATTCTTTATTTTTTTTCGATTAGTTTTAGGATAATATAAATACTTCAAGGGATTATTATTTTTCCCTTATGTCGTTTTTACGTTCATGGTAGTTTTCTCTTGATCCCTAGTTTCTCATGGCATCTCCATGGATTCTTCCATGGATGATTCTTGGGTTTATTATTTTAATTCATTAAGATATTTTACTTCTCTCTTTAATTATGTTTTCTTTATTAGATTTAGTTTTTATTATTAATTTCATGTTTGAGTAGTTTAATTCTAGGGTTTGGGAATTTATGTTTATATGATGAATCTTTATTGATGTTATTGATATTTTAATTATTAATTCCTCTAATTGATGGTGTTTTATTATTAATCTTGCAATTTGATCAATTGTTTGATTAATTATTGTTAATAAGAGTTTGTATCGAAAGATCTTAGTTTTAGAAGCTTACCTACAATTAGCAATTCTAAGTATGTTAGCGACCGAACTACATATGTTGAATTGAGAGCGTTAAGACTCGAACGTAGGCTTAGCAATTGCTCTAGATTATTGATTGATTGAATTGTTATTTATTATTGATAGATTTAGAATTATAAACATGGTGAACCATAACCCTAGGCCTTTTTATTAATTGTTTTTTTTTTCCTATTTTAATTTAGACTACTTTTTATCCCAACTCGTGACATACTTTAGTTTCTCCAATTCTTTAGAAGTTAGATTGAATAGCCATCACTCTGTGTATTCGACCCTAGTTACCCTACTACATTATTAGTTGGTTTTGTTATAATTTTATTTTTGACAGGTGTACGACAACCTATCGGTAACCTTATTTTTTAATATAGTAACCTTTATTAAAACTTGTGTGGCATTTTAAATTATTGTAAATATAAAATAAGTCATTATGTTAAACATAATGACTCTAATTTTAATATAGTAACCTTTATTATTTATATTGATTAGTATATAAAAAATTTCATTAAAAATATTGAATAACGTCTTATAGCCTTTATAATATCACAATGACTTTTATTTTAACGTAATAACCTTTAGTATAGTGACTTTATTTTTTTTTGTACTAAAAAAACAATCATAGTGTCTCTAATGTTAGTGATCCACAATGAATTAGTGTGGACCATGTCCATTTAAGAGTCTGTAATGAAGCATTAGCCCTAGTAGGCTAGTAGGTGGGTTTTAAACCCAATCCTTTCTGAATACTTTCTTCGGGATAAAATCGTCCTCGAAATAGTGAGAACTATTCCAAGGATCAATAGGGCTGATTGGCTGAAATAATACATTCTTGGCATGTTGTTCAAGCTAGTCCAATGCTTTTAACCAGTCTTCCTTCCTACGCAGATGGGGATTCACCCTGAGCATACGAATAACCTTGCCAAAGTCAAGCAGATCCATGACAGGTATGGTCATCGGAAGCATCAGCAGTACGAAGACTATCGAATTGAGAAGGCCTCAGCCCGAGCCACTTGATGTCCACATAATCAATCAAAAAATATGGATCACGAGTGTCTATGTCTAGATCCCACCCATAGCAACTGAATATAGCATCAGGAGGGGTGTCAAGGAATGTTAAGAGGTCGAGGTGGTGGGGGTCCAAGTCAGTGACAGCGACGAAGGGAAGATCAGGGTAGAATGTCTTGATTTCTCATAGAGCCATATACGACAATATGTCCCAACTGACACGAACAATAAGGTATTCAAACTTAGTATGACTTGGCAAAGATTGCAAAACCTTCAAAAATCCGGTCATTGGGAGCCTAAAGTAGGACAGATGCAGAGGTGCAACAGAGTAGGCTAACTCAACATGGATGACAGGAAGAGATCACCCTCGCTCGCTATACAACTCGAGATTGCCATCAATGCCAAGGTCTTCTAACTCAGCACAAGGGAGTTGTACTTGTTTCCTAAAGATTGAGTAGCCATTCCTATTGTCCTTATTCTTGTTATTCTTCTCCTCTTCCTCCTCTTTTTCATCCTCTTCCTCTCGTACTTGCATACACTTAGCCTCCCAGCGACTCTCCTCCAAAGCCTCATTTTCCAATTCTCTATTACGAGGAAATAGAAAAATGGTAAAAGTGCGGTTCGGACAGGCATGATAATAAGATCCTAATGTCATGTCGTCGTTCCTCAAGAAGAATCCTTCAGATGATAACATGTGTACTCGGTCAGGATCATCTAGTGCCACCCAAATTTCCAAATCCACTCATCCATGCAGGTATTGTACCTATCTTGAATACTCAACTACGTTTGTAGGTTTCATGTTAATTAAGTAATTGAATTAGGGAATGTGTAGATAGTTGCGCGATTTTTGGGTTTGTGTAATTCAATTTCTATTTTAGGGTTTCATGTGGTAAGCTAGTACACGGTAAACAGACACTTGGACTTATTGTTAATTGAATTGAATGTATGCGTGCTTGTTAGTTTATGGTAATGAGCTATGATTTATGTTATTGTTTGTTTATGGTAATGAGCTATGATTCAGGATGTCTGTAACTTATGTTATTCTTAGTTTATGGTAATGAGTTATGACTTATGGGGTAGAAAGGTACTAATTGCAGTTTGTAACTTTAGGGTAGATATAACAAGAAATTTCTGTTTGACAAGGTTTGTGTTGTGGCTAGCTTCTATTGCTTATATAGTATTGTTTGATTGTATGATTTGTTATTGTTATGATTGCTTTTACCCCATAAGTAGTTGAGTTAGATGTAAAAAGAAATTTCTGTTTGATAAGATTTGTGGCTAGCTTATGTGCCTAGCTTCTGTTGCTTATATAGTATTTGTTTCGGGGTTTTTTGATGTGTCCTGCGGGAGAGTTACAATTCCGAGAATTCCCTTCGCCGCCTGTACCTGCAAAACCACGAAGACTCCGGTTGGTTGGAGCTCCGCCTCCGACGACCAAGTTAGTTACGTAAAGGAGGAAGATAGTGCGTAAAATAGTGAAATTACTTCTCGCGTAATGGGAGAATTCCGCAATTAATATTGCTCGGTTTTTGTGTAAGTCTTTATGAATGTATTGCATTGCCCCCATTAATGAGGATTCTCCCACTATTTATAGTGGGGTGACTTGGTTCCCCATTTAGGGTTCCTGGGACACGTGTCAGCAGGGGATTGGAGCCCTGCTGACCAATGGATGGGTGCCACGTGTCGCTCAGTCATTGGGCCACGTGGCTGGGGTATTTTTACCCCAAACATTTGCCCCTCTCAGGTGCTGACGTGGCAGGGTGCCACGTGGCGCCTGAGAAGAGAGCTGGCATATGCAACACACAATTATTATTATTATTATTATTATTATTTTTTACGAAACCTCTTCAGATTCTATCTGAAGGAGGGAAAAGCAGAAGGGGAAAGGTTGCGACCCTTTGCCTTCTGAGGCAACCCCTATAAATAGGGGGGAGATTCCCACGAGAGGTCATTTACAAACTTCGTGAATTTTCTTGAATTTTGAGAGCATCCGGTACTTGAAATTCAGAGCAGACGGAGATTTGATAATTTAGGGCAGCCGGTTTTTAGACCGCCTGTAAGGTACCAAGCAAGCAAAAGTTTTTCGTGAGGGTACCCAAGAGAACCCAGCCGGTCTTCAAACCGTTTGTGTCTTTGCAAGCATCCCCAAGAAATTTCTTGAGGTTTCAGCAAATTCTTCTACTCTAGGTACCGTCTCTATTCCTTCTCGCTTTTCCATGTATTTCCGTTTGCGTCTTTTGCTTGCACTTTTATTTATCAGTCCCATAGGTAGATGGACCCTTTATACCCATACCCGAAACATAGTTGTGAACTCAGCCGTTCAATTATTACGGCTAAGTCTAGAACTGGATCTGCCGCCTCTGATCTTTGGAATTTTCCCTTTTCAACGCCTGTATCGACCGACTCCGTGTCTGTGCAGGACACGATGGCTAGAATTAGAGGAACAACTATGGACCCCAATTACAGAGGCGGAGACTCAAATGAGATGCCGCCTGAGGGACGAGCCCCAGACGAGGCGGCTAGAGAACCATCCGGCGACACTCTCGCCACCCCAAGCGATAGTATTTTAGGCTCCTACAACGAGGAGACCTCTCCTGCTCAGGAGGCTGAGCAGCCAGGAACCGTCAATGAGGGTCCCAACTCCCCATCCGGCTCTGATGACGGTCGCATCGAAAGCAGTAGCTCTAGCTACTTGACCATGTCAGAAGATAGCGAGGAGGCGGAGAGGCCTTCGTGGCAAAGTAGAAATAACCCTCTCATGATCGCCGTCTCCCTCAAGGACCGGGCCCTCATGCGGTCTTCTCTACTAGACTTCATTACCAAGCGACTGCTTGGAGAAGGATACAAGCTGACCGTGCCGGGGGAGTTCGGGACGGTTGTATGGGAAGACGACCAACCCAACGCTAACAGCTGGTTTGGGTGCTATGAGGCGGCTTTCCTAGCCGGCGTCCGCTTCCCCCTTCACAACACGATAAAGGCCATACTTAGGGGATATGGCCTAGGCGTTTGGCAACTCACCCCTAATTCTTAGGTGAACATTCTAGGGTACATCGCCACCTGCGAGATGCAGGATCTCAACCCCGGGTGGGAGGCGTTATTTGAGCAGGAGCCCAGGCGGCTGGAGAGCCTGGTACACCTTGACGACTCATCCTCAATATATGATGACCCTGGATAAGTCGTCTAAATGGTCGAACTGGAAGAACCGGTTCTACCTGGTCAAAGCTCCGACTGAGGAGGAGAACAAGGAGTACCGGGCCTACAACCGGAAACCAGAGCTTTTGGGGCAGAAGTGTCGGCTTCCCCCAGTGCCTGATAATGATAGGGAGGCCATTTTGGACTCCGGATTTTTTGAGCTGACCTCTTGCTCTCTCTCAACCGGAGAGATAATAAGGGTACCCAAGAATTGGGTACCCAAACACGAATTTTTTAGGGACGAGTGCTTGTTGTCCGCCTGTGGACTTAGCAGCATGTTTGAAAGACATAGGTTACGAACCCTAGCCGGTTAATTTTATGCCGGCTAACCTTTTTCTTTTGATTGCAATGCAAAATTATCATGATCTTGACCGGATGTATTTGCGTTTTGCAGAAGAAGCTAAAAACATGCTGCCCACCGCCAAGAAAGCTTCAGATATCTGCAAGGAGAATCTGGAGAAGAAGCTTGTCGCTCAGGCGGCTAAAAAGGTTAGCCCGCCTGACCTTCTTTATTTGTTTGCCTTGATGCTATTTTAGCTATTTCTTCACCTGACCGTTTCAGGATGGGGGTGTTATCCCTCGCTCCTTGCAAAAACAGATCCAGCAACGACCATCTGTTGAGGAACCTGCACATAAGGTGCAGAAAACCGCTTCCACCGCCCGGACTACTACCGGTGGTAAAACAATAAAGACCCCAGGCGGGGCTAACACTGAAACGGCCTCGAAAGAGGTCACTCCTATAAGGACCGCAACCGGTCCATCTGCTGCCGGAGGCCAAAGGGCTTCCCAAAAAGGTACAAACCCTTTCAACCTCACGCTGCTTGACCAACCCATGCGGGTTAAGTCATATTCCGCGTCTCAGCCGGGAGATTCTTCGATCAGCCGGCTGTCCGTAGGCGGAGCATACGCAGCTTTCTCACCGTCTGTGTCTGGTGCAGATAATTCTCCACGCTGGCCGGACGCTACTCAATACGCCCGGGCCATGCTGAAAGCCGTCCCCCGGGACGAGAAGGAGGCGATTCCTGGAATCAATACCTTCAATGCCAACCGTGTGATGGTCGACCTGGCCGATGTAAGTCAATGAGTACCCACCCGGCATTTAATTTGTAGTATGCTCATCCGGTTTTTCTACTAATGCCGGCTGTGTAATTGCAGGCACTGCTCCGCATGGAGGGGCTTAAGAAGGCCTACATCCGCAAGCAGGAGGAGGTAAGAAGAGCCAAACGTTCTGCGGATGACGCACATAGCGTTGCCCACTATTCAATGATTGTGCATGACTTAGAAACTAAATCTATAATCATGCAACAGGCGGATCAGGTCAAGTCCCTCCAAAATGCCCTCAAGGAGTCCAAGACCAAAATAGACAACCTCCAGGCGGCCCTAGACAATGCTGAAGATGAGCTCAAGAAGCATGAGGAGCCCCTCAAACGGCTTGAGCAGGCAGAGAAGAACAGCAAACGGCTGCAACTAGAGAAGGACCGCCTGGTCAAGGAGGCTGCTGATGCACAGCGCAACTTCCAGGCCACTCTTGAAGCTGATCAGAGTCGACTCATTGAGGAGAATGAGCAGGACTGCAAGAACCGAATGAAGAGGGCGTTCTCCATTATCCATCCGGGTACAGACTACAACGTCTGGGAGCTCGCCTACAAGTAAGCAGACCTTGCCATTCTTGCTGAGGAGGAGGGCAAGCCAGGGCCTGAACCCTATGAGCAATGGGTTGAGAAGGAGTTCAAGCGGATGCAGGAGGAGGCGGCTGGCAACGAAGAGGCAGTCGAGGATGAGGTTGCTCCCGGCTCCGTTCCTACCACCGACCCAGCTCATCCGGAGGGTAACCAGGCAGAGGCTGACCGGGTGACTGTGCAGCTAGAGTAGCAACGACCTCCCGGCCTGCGTGCCGTGCATTATTTTGTAATAGCGCTGGAGGGTCGGCTTACTCTACTGTTATCTTTTATTTTGAGTATTAATATACATTTTCGCCGGCTGTGCCGATTTATCTTTGTAAACAATTCATTTTTTCACCGGCTGTGCCGGTTAATTCTGCTACATTTCCACCGGTTGAGCCGGTTTTGAATGAATTTGTATTTTCCTTTTTCCTGCTTCGAATTTTTCTTTTTGAATGAATGTGTTTCCGCATGACTGATTGCGGTTAGGGTAGGTAATTGCCCCTGGATAGAAGGCTGACATAGGTGAGATGGTGCCAGGCGGCTATCCATATGCTATAGCACAAATGTTAACGATTTAACTAAGTGCTAAGTGCTAACCGTAAGAACGAAAAGCAATCGGTTTTTACTGATTTGCCGGCTGAGGCTTTTGGGAAAGGCCTTTTCGTAGAATTTAGGGTGTCCATTTGCCGGTTGGGCTTTTGCAAGAACACCCCTTCATAGACTATGGCCTAAACTAAATGCTTGAGGCCTGCCTTCTCTTAGTCGATTAGGCGGCGCTTTAAGTACCGGCAATCTATTTTGAGATCAGCCTTTAGTGGTACTTAGTCCAAAGTGGGGGCCGGCTGCATGTTTGGGAATGCTAGCCCACGATTCTTTGGTGCAATGGAACATTCAGGCGGGTGGGACCACCTGATTTTTTACCACTAGAACAATTTTCCACCCGAATGGGAGATGTTCTCTTCGATGAATTCACCCGAATGGGTGTCACCGGATGATTCGTTAGTTTTCAGGGCCTCTTGTGTTGAGCACAAGACATGGCGCATGGAAATTCGATAAAAGGGGCCGCTTGTGTTAAGCACAAGACATGGCGCATGTAAGCATAATATGTAGTAAATTTCTCATTAATTATATAGAAGTCTACAAAAGCTATACAATTTCTAGAAGTAGTACTTCTTAAGATTGTCTACATTCCAGGTTCTAGGCAGCTTTCTACCGTCTGGGGTTTCCAGGCGGTATGTGTCGTCTCGTACTTCTTCAAAGATCCGGTAGGGTCTCTCCCAATTAGGGGTTAATTTGCCTTGTTCATTGGCCCTACTGGTTGCTTCCATTTTGTGAAGCACAAAATCTCCTACTTTCAAGGGCCATTTGTGAACCCGCTTGTTGTAGGCTCTTGTCATTCTCAGGCGGTAAATCTCATGACGCAAGGCCGCGTTGCCCCTTCGCTCCGGGAGAGCATCCAGTGCAAGCCGCATGGCTTCCCAGTTGGCCGCCTCATCATATAACATGATGCGAAGCGTTGGCTCATAATGTTCAATGGGGAGCACCGCCTCAGTGTCGTATGTCATAAGAAATGGGGTTTCACCGGTTGCCCCTTTTTCAGTGGTCCTGATGGCCCAAAGGACATGAGGTAGCTCCTCCGCTCATAGTCCACCGGCTCTTTCCACCTTCTTCTTTACACCGTCTGAGATCAGCTTATTGAAAGCCTCAACTTGCCCGTTTGCCTGAGGACGGCCAACGGATGCAAAACAATGGGAGATTCCTTGGTCCCCCAACCAGCTCTTGAGGACAGGCGTTTCAAATTGTGGTCCATTGTCAAAAACCATAGACATTGGAACCCCAAACCGGGTGATGACATTTCTCCAAATGAAGGAGATCACGTCCTTTGTTTTTATACCTTTGACCGCCTCTGCTTCAAACCATTTGGTGAAGTAATCTACTGCCAGCAAAATATAGCAGCGACTGCCTGATGCAGGCGCATACGGACCCAGAATGTCCATGCCCCACATTGCGAACGGAACCGGACTATGGATGGTTGTCAAGTCAGTAGCCGGTCGATGTATCAACCGGACGAACTTTTGGCATTTGTCACACCGTTTCACCAAATCCATGGCATCTGCCTCAAGAGTGGGCCAAAAGTAACCCTGCCATCTGGTTCTTCTTGCCAAGGATCTGCCGCCTATGTGTAAGGCACAAAAACCCGCGTGCAGATCCTCTAGGACTTCTCTTCCCCTTTCAGGGATAACACACTTTAGAAACGGTTGTAGGTATCCCTTCCGGAGGAGTTCTCCATGATGCATAACGAAGCTTAGAGCACGCTTCTTGAGCGCCATTGCTTCAGAAGGGTCATCCGGTAAAGTGTTGTCTGCTAAGTAATCCCAGATGGGGTCCATCCAGGTGGCACTTTGGTCTAGGATACCAATGGGGTCATGATCAATGCTTTTTTTCTCAATAACTTCCCAAAAGACCGTCTTAGGCGCATCACAGGAGGCGGATGATGCCAATTTGGAAAGGGCATCCGCCTGATTATTCTCGGACCGGGGCACCTGGCTTAGATGGAATTCATCAAGTGACACGGCCTCTTCTCTGACCGCCTGCAGATATTTGATCATAGCCGGATGGGTGGCCTCGTAGTCACCATTGTACTGGCTAACAATCAACTGAGAGTTTGAGCAGGCGCTGACTTTTCTTGCCCCTGCTACCTTACACATGCGTATACCGGCTAGCAGGGCTTCATACTCCGCCTCATTATTTGAGGCTTGGAACTGGAATCGTAGTGCATATTCAAACTTATCCCTTTCCGGAGGATGGCATATAACGCCTGCACCACAGCCGTTCACTGTAGAGCTACCGTCTACAAATAACTTCCAAACCTTATCAGGATTTTCCGGTTGCACCGGTCTAGTCAATTCGACAATGAAGTCGGCAAACGCCTGACCTTTCACTGCCCGCCTGCGTTCAAAAGTTATTTCGAGGCTCTGTATTTCAACGGCCCACTTGATCATTCTTCCGGATGACTCGATGGTGGTCATTGGGCGCTTGAGTGGCTGGTCTGTATATACAATCACCGGATGAGCCAAAAAGTAGGGCTTCAACCGCTTGACCGCGACGAACAGGGCCAACCCAAATTTTTCGATCATAGGGTACCGGAGTTCAGCATTCTTAAGTACATGGCTGATGAAATACACCGGGAGCTGATTACCGTCTCTCTCAGCAAGGAGAACGACACTAAGGGCATGATCAGAGACGGCTAGATACATATAGAGGACCTCCCGGGGCAGGGGACTCACTAGCCTTGGCAAAGAGTGCAAGTGTTGCTTTAGCTTCCGGAATGCCATTTCCGCCTCTTCACCCCACTCGAATCTGGACCTCTTCCGAATGGCCTGGAAGAAATAGAGGCACTTGTCACCTGACCGGCTGAGAAATCTTCCCAACGCCGCCAGGCAACCAGTCAGCTTCTGGACTTCTTTTACAGTGCGGGGAGACCGCATGTCTATAACTGCCTGTACCTTTTCCGGATTAGCCTCTATGCCTCTTTGGTCGATCAAAAATCCGAGGAACTTCCCAGACTCAACACCAAATACACATTTCTTTGGGTTAAGCATGACCCGGTGCCGCCTGAGTGTGGTGAATGTTTCTCGGAGGTCCAGTAGGTGATCCGTCTGTAGCTTGGATTTGACTATCATGTCATCAATGTACGCTTCTACATTCCTGCCAATCTGATTAATGAAAACGGTGTTTATCATGCGCTGGAATGTAGCCGGTGCATTCTTTAACCCAAATGGCATCACCTTGTAACAAAACAACCCCTGATCAGTGACGAAGGCCGTCTTTTCTTGATCTTTTTTCCATAGGGGTATTTGATGGAAACCTGAGTAGGCATCCATGAAACTCATCAGAGCATGACCGGCTGTGGAGTCGACCAGACTGTCGATCTTTGGAAGCGGGTAACTGTCTTAGGGGCATGCTCTGTTCAGATCTGTATAATCTACACACATCCGCCAGGTACCATTCGGCTTTTTCACGAGGACAACGTTTGCTACATAATCCGGGTAGTAGCATTGCCGGATGAACCCAGCATCCAATAGTTTTTTGACCTCAGCCGCTGTCGCCTGAGATCTTTCCTCACCGTGATCCCTCTTTTTCTGCCTGACCGGCTTCTTTTTAGGGTCCACGGCGAGCTTGTGGACATCTAGATCCGGGCTGACGCCTGGCATCTCTTCCACTTCAAAGGCAAAGATGTCTTTGAATTCCTTCAGAAGTTGGAGCAGGTCTGCTCCCAACCGTTCATAAGCAACCGTCCCAACCTTGACGGTTCTGTCAAGACAGTTGTCGTCTAAGACGACATAAAGGCAGTCACCAGCCAGTTGAGGTCGTTGGTCATCTGAACTTTCCCCGGCTAGTGATTGCTATTTTTCTTGCTTGACGGGTTCCGTTTGGTCCGCCTTTCTTTTCTTACCGGCTGCCCTTGGAGCCGGGACTGCTGTATCGCAGTTATCAAGGTCCATGGGCTTGCCGTCTCCGGCTGCCCCCATAGTAGGTTTGACGTCAGAGAGATAGCACTCCCTAGCCGTCCTTTGGTCTCCTTTCAGGGAACCGACTGTACCATCGTCCTTCTCAAATTTGACGAGCATGAGTGAGGGAACGATGACAGCCTTGGATTCATTGAGGGTCGGACGACCAAAAATCATGTTGTAGGCGGCAAGCTCTTCTACAACCAAGAATTTTACCACCATGTGGCGTCATTCCCCCTTTTCACCCAGCCGGATGGGAAGATCTATGCTTCCTACCGGATGCACAACTCCTCCCCCAAAACCAACAAGCGGGTGAGGCGCCTGGTGCATGTTACTAGATTTGTACTTGAGCTTGTTCAAGCATTGATAGATGATTAGGTCAGACGAGCTCCCGGTATCTATTAGGATCCGGCCAACCCTCTGATTGGCAACTTTGCATTCGATGACTATGGGGTCATCATGAGCCCGCCTGACCACC